CCCCCCCCCCCCCCCCCTTTCTACAACACTATTGGCCTCGGTTGGAATTTTGCAATGGCAAGATCGGTAAAGTTTTGAGAAGGATTAGTGAAATGTGTTCTTACTTGTTGGATAAGTTGCTCTGAGCATCTTTTCTACAACTGTTAAGATGATTGAGTAATTCTTTATTTCCATCAATGAGGTTCATAAACGATTCCGATAAACTGTGTCGTTTGTGGAGCATGGTTTCCTGAATTCTTCTTGCCGCTGTCGGAAGAAAAGTTGTTAAAGGAGTCTCGATCAGGGCTGCGGTGGCGCAACTTTGGTATCAAGAAATTGTGTTCGTACTGCTTGTCCCAAGCTGTCAACAAGTTTGGAACAAGCTGTTAACAACTCGTAACAATATTGTTGATATTATCAGACTTGTTGCCAGGTTGTTCCAACGAGTCCGATACATGCAGTCATGACTCATGATATAACAATATTGTTACAACCTTGTGTCGTCTACCTTGTAACATTCTTGTAACATTCGTGTTATATCATGACTGTATCAGACGTGTTAGAGTAACCTTAACTTGCAACAAGTCTGATAATGCCATCAGGCTTGTTTCAAACTTGTTACAACAACTAGGAACAAGCGGTGCGAACACAACTTGTCGACAGCTTGTGAACAGATTAGTAACAACTTGTAGGGCTGTTACCCTTGCTAAACCTCCATATTGAGAACGGTTTAAATAAAGTTAGTTTCTTGTTACCTTGAGCTTGCCTCTCATCCTCGTTCTGTTCTTCTCTGATAATTATTTCCTCTAAAAAAACAAATGTCCTTGTAGTAGTACCGTAAACCTCCGATTATAAGCCCTGGGCTTATATTCTTTCGTATGCGATTTTTGATGGGCTTATACAAGGGGGGGCGCTTATGTACGGGGGGCTTATACATAGACGATCTTTTGTGTTAGTGTAATAGTGATAAACAAGTATAGTAATAGTGATAAACAAGTGTTACGCATAGTAATAATAGTGATTAATAGTGGTAATCGTGATAAACAATAGTGATAAACAAGTGGGCTTATATTCGGGTGAGCTTATATTCGGGGGGGGGGGCTTATATTTGACACGGGGGTTAATAATTCATGAAATTCATCTCCTAGATTATATTTACGATGCTCGCTAATAATTATCTGCGCAAAATCTAGAACACATGCAGCTATTGTATTTTTTTTATTCTGAGCATATTGAGTTTCTCACTTATTGGTGAACGGATTTCCCGACAGGATATTGCCCAATGATAGGGATCCGAGGTCCCTACGATTTTAACGTCCTTATCCGAGAATACGCGAAAGTCTAACCATTTACTTTACTGAGTTCAATTTGCTATTAACTTTGCCAGATTCAGACAACGTTAACACAAAAACTGACAGGGCAATCGCAACAGCTTGCGCCAATTACTGCGATCCCTAAATGTTTGACAAATATAGGTACATAGAAAAAATCAACTATACTACTAACGAACTATCAGATTTGTTACTTTTCACATTGCCACCCACAGGATCACTTCCATTTTCGGAAGCTGACTGAATTTGAATGTCAAGGTAGCACTTTCTGAAAGTTCAATGTAAAGGTAGCACTTTCTCCTCAATTATTTTAAGACCTTGAGTAGAGGTCCGACCAAGAATTGAACCCGGGCAGGAATGCCGGAACCACGGGTGCAGCGGGTGCAAGTGCACCCCTTGCCTTTTGCATTTTCAACTTTGTGGGTGCAGTGCGGGTGCAGACTATGGGTGTGTCGGGTGCACAAAACTTTTACAGCAGACAGAATTAAACGTCGCTTGAGGATGTGTGTGGGGGTGTTCCACCCCGCAGTCGTCAGGAATTCGGCAAAGTTGTTATCCATTTGGCGAAAGGTGAAACGGAAAGCATTACTTATGGATTTTTTATTGAAGCATTACGGAGGAATTGTGCCTAAATAATTGTATTCGGTCCGAAAAAAATTGGTGACGGGGAGAGAGGTCGACACGAATGTTGGATCATGACGCCCTTTCATTTTCATTGGTGCCCTTTTGTTAAGGAATATGCCCTTTTGTTAACCAATTGCACCCCTTGCCCTCAGCAACTTCCGGCATCCCTGTACCCGGGTCTCCCAGTTTGAAATGGAAGCGTGGTGACCACGACACCACAATTACTGGGACATCTGCATGCTATTCTTCTTACCAGCTTTGATGATCCAGTCAGTATAACCGGACATAACTCTCTCCATCTGCTGTTGGCGACGAATCTTGAAGAACGACCGACGATTTTCGACTCTTTCACGTTCTTTGGCAAACTCCCTGAAATGTAACGTCACTGTTTGAACGTATTTGATGAAATCTGCATCGAATATCTGAACACATATACACTGCAAAATATTTTGATTAAAATACACGCGAGTAAAATAATGCGCGCACCACAGTGACTCAAACTACGGAGAACAATTACTCAAAAAAATTATCAACAAATTTATTTTTTTATTAAAGTAAATATTTACTCAAAAAATTCAGTAAATTTGAAACTTTAAATTTTCGAGTAATTTTATTCAAAATTCTGAGTCATTATAGGTGCATTATTTTACGAAGTTTTTAAGTCAAATGCGTCGTGGTCTAGGAGTGTTGTCATCAGTTGTGACATTACTCGCGGAGATCCGATTGCTCATGCGGTTTTGAGATGCGACACTAGTCATGAATTAAGGGAGAATTTTTGGACGTGGATACTGAACAACATGTCTTTGGATTTCTGTGGATATATTAGCCAACTTGATGATGAAGAGTTTCTTGATGTTGTTTTTGGTCAGCATACCGCACAGGGACTTTTAGACAATTTTAGAGTACATTCTGCTAGAATTTTTTGCATAGAACTATTGAATTGTCAAAACTGATTGCGTTCTGAGGAACCTATTCTCATCTTGTGTAAATATTACTTTGTTTATATTTTGTTTTGTACATTTGTAGAATCTCTTCCATGAGGGAGGCAAATGAAGAATTTCACTCACCCACTGAGAACCCCAAGAATTAGATTCAACATAAAGAACGATCCAATAATCAGCAATGAAATGTACAACATTGATGTCACGACGCCATATTCGTATTCACGAGCGTCAAAACTCTACAACAACAGAAATGACAGGAAACATCATTTGTGTGTTTCTGGTTTGATATGCACTCAGGAGAAGATACATGTAACATGTTCGTGATGTTGTCTCTGAGTGTGTCCGCACCGGGCAAGTTGAAAAGTTTCCTGGAATTATTTTTTTCCAATTCAAGGACTTTCCAGGATTTTCAAGGCCCTTGGACACCCTGCGCACATAAACCGTGGTGAAAGTCAAATCACAAGTCCTTTTGTTTAAAATTTTTAAAGAGTTGGATTTGAAAAGTTTTAAAAAGCAATTCAAAAATCAGTTAATAGTTCAGTACGAATAGTTTTGATCAAGTAGCCGTCTCCAAGATCTCATTAATCTATACTATTATTTTCGGTTTTCTTTGTGTGTGTTTTTTTTACTCTGTGTGTCGTATCTTTCTTTTTCATTTTGTGCTCGATATTATAATTTCTGTCTGCTGAAACATGATTTCTTTCAAAATCATTGTTATAAGTCATCTGACTAGAATAGCCCCATATGATCATTTGTAATTGTAATTTTAGATATTATTGAGTATGTATTTTTTTGAGTGTAATGAATATTGTATTGTATTGTTTACTTACAATATACATAATGTCCGTCCAACCCTCCATAGTGACACATTGAAACACGGTCAACATGGCCAGGAAGATATGATCATACGATGTAATCCCATAGTGGGGTCCAGGCCACTCGGCCCTAGAGTTGATGTATTCACATCTCTCCCCAGGCCCACACGTTCGACCTCCCTCGTCGCCACACGGACGATTTAACAGCAGAGTATCATTGATCTTACCTGGAAAATATTACATTGGCTGATTTCCACGAAATATTGAAATTCCACGAGTTTTAGGATGTTTCAATAATCTTACCAGTTTCAATATTTTGGCAAGTCCAATGAAAACGACCAACAAGTAGTTCGAGACCAATTATTGCGTATATTACAATTATAAATGTTATCAAAAATAAAATCTGCATTAAAGGTTTCATAGCGCGAACTATTGATTTCATCACTACTTGTAAACCTGCAAAAAATAAGAATATGGATCAGCAGCCTGGATTTTGGTATATATACGAGTATGCTCATGAGCATACAAGATTTGTATATATATATATATATATATATATATATATATATATATATATATATATATATATATATATATATATATATATATATATATATATATATATATATATATATATATATATATATATATATATATATATATATATATATACTGTCTGCTTATCACATAACATGTTAATTAAATCGCGTGCTTTGTTTAAAATAGGATTACATTTTTTAAAGTCTCATCCACTTGTACATATATAACCTTAGTTTTAGTAATAAAGATGCCTAATGGATTTATAAATATATATATATATATATATGTCTTGTTTGTCGATGCTGACACGTATCTGAAGAGTGCTCAATGCAGGTAAGATTTTGCAGAGCAAAACTATTATTGGTGTAGACTAAGACATGATATCTGAAGATAATTTAATAAAACCTAAACCTATCGTAAATAGGTTTAGGTTTTATTAAATTATCTTCAGATATCATGTCTTAGTCTACACCAATAATATATATATATATATATATATATATATATATATATATATATATATATATATATATATATATATATATATATATATATATATATATATATATATATATATATATATATATATATATATATATAGTATATATATATATATAGTATATATATATATATATATAGTATATATATATATATATATAGTATATATATATATATATA